TGTGTATGCAGTGCTTATTGGCAGACAATGTCATGGCCGTACGGTCACCTGTTATTTCAAGTTTACGGCTCACTTCTATGTGATTACATAGAAGTGAGGCGTAAATATCATGTTGAAACGCAGGATTGACTTGCATCTATGATCTTTAAATAACGGCAAATCCATGGGTACTGAAGCGGTAACTGACTATCGAAGTGGTCCACAGGTGTAGAGACCAACGAACACTCACTAATGTCGTGTAACCACCACACTGGGAGCCCTGCTAGTTGGAACAATGGCTACAGATCCAATGATGTTCTTACCTACCCAGCGAACCTGACCTTAGTATACAATTTGCCGACTACATCAGCGGTATGTAGCTACACTAATGACAGGAGCGTACGACCAACTGAAACAACACAGCACAGGAACCTTGTAGCTCTAAAGTCTTTAATATTTCTATTTGCGTACAAGTCCTAGATTTACCTCCTTTGTACGAAGTACTGTATTGTTTCTGATTACCTCTCACCGCCTTAACAATCACACGCATTTCCTAAACGAAATCGCACACCTATCGATTCTCCAGATTGCTCGCATTGGCATGAGTACACTATGCATACTGTATCACGTGTGGCCAGATAGGCAAGCGAACAAGAAAGGCAACCGTGCAGTCCACCCTTAAGCCTTCAAAACTTCTCTTCCAACCGCCTGCAAGGGTTGCATCCTCAACACAATCAACCAATCCGCTTCTTATCACTACTGAATTAGATGTCATATCGCTCGTGTAAGCCTTCAAGGCTTCTCTTCCAACAGTCTGCAAGCGTTGCAGTCTCAACATAAACAACCTATCCGCTTCTTAATACCACTCAGTTGGAGTTCATCTTGCTCGCGTAGTAGTGAAACCTCCTTACGCCAGATTGGCAGCATGACCAATCACGTATTATGTCTCATAATGGCTGAGCACCCTCGACAGGACAACGAATCCGCTGATGAACCAGCACTATCGATCGATTCAGTTGGTAGTTTACCCGTTCGTTCTCACTCGTAGACGCAAACTTCTCGTGTGCTCTGGACCGCATTGGCCTGCTGCGTATCAGGCAATTCACTTTGGGGTCGAGTCTGCGGCCACACCAAAGGGAAGAGTAACAAGTGTGACGCTGTGCGCGCGTGCAGTCGTATGGACGCTTTCGGTCAAGTCGATTGGACGGTCTGACATTATTGAGAACGCCTCGGCTTTCCTTCAGGCGCGCATTGGTGCTGCAGAGAATATGTTGGTACTTTTAAACAAGAGCATAGTTTGGAACCATTATCTTGTTTAAAACTACCTGCAGACTGGTATTAGGCTTGCGGGTTCACTGTATGATTGACTCATTTTGTCGATCGACTATCTGTTGATCGCAATCGGTGTACCAGCACACTTCTATGGTGTCGAGGGTCATCAGCCAATCGGAGACATAATACGTGATTGGTCATGCTGCCAATCTGGCGTAAGGAGGTTTCACTACCACACGAGCAAGATGAACTCCAACTGAGTGGTATTAAGAAGCGGATTGGTTGTTTATGTTGAGACTGCAACGCTTGCAGGCTGTTGGAAGAGAAGCCTTGAAGGCTTACACGAGCGATATGACATCTAATTCAGTAGTGATAAGAAGCGGATTGGTTGATTGTGTTGAGGATGCAACCCTTTCAGGCTGTTGGAAGAGAAGTTTTGAAGGCTTAAGGGTGGACTGAAGTTGAATTGAAGTTCGAAGGGGACGATAAGGGTGACAATACGTAAGGAGACGGGAAGGTTTGAGAAGTAGCATCCAAACCCTTAAAGACCCTGCTAAATGCAGCAGATAGGGCACCGTTTAGCATCATCTGCGGCGGCAAGAGCATCAAGAAATTGTTTAGTGTAGGTTCTATAGTACTGCATCGGTAGAAGACTGTCAGGTTGCCTAGGCATAGACAAAACGAATAGGGTTCTTAACCAAAGTCTTTGGTTCAAAAACCTGAGCGCAACGCAGCGGGTTTAACGGTGGGCTACAAGGAGTCGGTTTTAATGAATTAGGAGCCATCCTCATTTCATCCCTCAATCTGGAGGATCAAGCGACTGTTTGTCTGGCCTCTAACCATTGACCAAACTGATATGAGTGGCTCTGAAGTTGCAAAAAAGCACCACCTAGCACAGCTTAATGAATGTCTGAGGCACGCAAACCATCGCAGCACGGTAAAGGCCAGCCTCATTGCGACTGACAGTCCCTGACATATGGAAAGCAGCCAGCATAACACAAGTACCAAAGAAGGAATCATTGAAGCAGCCACCAGTAGTGTGCACTTCCGTGCAGTAGAAGGTGCATGAAAAACTACGAATTCCCGCATTTCCTCAAGCGAGCATACAGATGAGATCCAACAGAATCTTCATCGTCATAAAAGCAGTAGACCAGCTAGTTGAATTGATGCTTCGCTGCCGTACAACCACGGTAACCAACGGAAGGAAGAACAATAAGAGGGAGAGAAGAGGGACCTAGTAGAAAACCTTAATGCCTTAAACAACCATTCAGAGTCAGGCACATAATCTAGTCGACGGCATACCGTTATAAACAGCTGGCTATCGTTCAAATATAAGGCGGCATCGGCATCTTCCATGCGGCTTCCACTGTCGCACGTCATAATCAGTTATTATCCCGCAGGCCTGTTCGAACAGGGACGTCAGTGCATTGCAGAAGACCGCATGACCATAGCTAAATAGCGTGTGTGCGACGGACTCCGGACCAGTAACACAACAATGTTTAAGAGCCGTCATCGCGTTTCAGACCACAGCCACCGATGGAGCCTTTAAGCTTACCGGCCATGGCTAAGCCTGCACTACATGAGTAGAAAGGGGTCCGGGAGCCGGAGCCTAACTGCACCGCTCTCGAAAGTGCTTCGCTCAACGAGCTAGCCGGCGCTTTTATCCTGAATCAATACACTCGCGCTGTCTCTAATTGTCTCGGTGACACCTGGTTTCTTGGGACTAGTGGTGCGGATCAGTTGGGAGAGCTTGCGGCAATTATCTACTACACCCGCCTTCTCCATTTCTTGAACCCTACAGGTCCACCAAGATGCCTTGTCAGTATGAAGACTCCGTTCCACTTTGCGTCTAATAGGCGTTCTGGCTACATTGTTATCAGAACCAATATAGAGTATTTTCTGGACTTGAACCAGTTCACCGACCTCTCGGATATCCAGTGACTGGTTGCATGACGATTGATACTGTTGCAAGAAGAGGCGCCCGCGTCGCACATGACGGTCGAAATCTTGTTCCACTAAAGTTCAGTTGCCTTAGGGCAACAGAACGAAAATTTGCCACGCAGGGCATCCTGGTAGGTTTGTTTGGCCGATTGACAGGATAATATCGCAGTTGAGAATCGAGGGAGGCGCTTGGTACGCTAGAGTACCAAAGCATGATCAGATTTGACACCCGTGTTACAGGTTGGAAGACAATTCAGGATGGCACCACGCAACCTGTAACTTATGGCAAAGTGATCGACTTGGGTCCATCACTGACCAGCTATAGGGGGATGCCAAGTGGCACATCGGCGCCCACTATGTCTAAAAGTAGTGCTACTAAGAAACAGCCGGTGCTCTGCATACAGTTGCAACAGACGCCCGCAGTTGTCCGGCCGATCAGAGGGAAGTCCAATTCTACTAACTAAATGGGCTTCTGAAAAGCTCAGATGAGCGACTTGCGTATTTATCAGAGTTTGCTTACAAACCAGGGTGCTCTACAGCAGATCCCGTCTTATATCTTGTGCAGCCCATTGTGCGCTTTTCGGAAAAAAGTGCAATAGCGTACGATTCCTGTTTCTAAATTAGACCAATACTTTCAGGAGCCACGAGAGACCATGACTACTAAATCTTTTGCTCGAAAATGGCGTTCTATCATATTTAATGCAACGCTTGACCGCTTTATGAGATGCACACACACATCACGCAGCTATGTGGCAGAAGGGCTTTCGCAATACCAGCTAACTGTGGTGTTTTGCCAAAAGCTACTATAACTCCCTTTCTCTGTAGACTTTAAGTTGAATGTCTGTCTATACCATCCGAGTTTATCGGATGTGAATACGCCGATGACGTCATCCTAAGGAGCAAAGCCCCAGTACACGAAGAAGCTTCGAAACTCCAACGAGGATTATACGAACTATTGACTTGTCAAAGCTCCCGGGCCCTCCCCGTTAACTCTTCCAAACATTAGGATGCCACGTTCTCTTTTGGCCGTTCCAACAGACTGTAATCGCTTGTAAAGATCTCCGCTTTTTTGGTCGTGAGTAACCAAAGCATCCCTCACTCATCCACTGTAAAGTATCTAGGAGTTTTCCTGTCCCACAATTTATCCCGATAGACACATATTTTGAAACCTCCCTGATCTTTTACGCTCTCAGGCCCAAAAAGCTCTCTGTATCTCGTGCTCCAACACAAAAGTTTATAAATGCATAGATTCGTCCCCCTTGGTTATACGGTTTTGTCATTTTGACCGGACTTCTCCAGATGGATTATTATTATTATGCGCCCACTAAAATTTATTTCCGGATTAGGTAAAAAAGATCTGGTTGATTTTATCCTTAGCAAGCATTCTGACGCGTGCAACAACTTTGTATCCGGGGTTCTAAACGATCCCTCTCACTCCCAACACACGGTTTTAGCTAGCGCGGGATCTAGTTCATGTGGTCGAATAGTAAAGTTTCATTTTCCCGTACGTATTCGTGTCGCAACTCCAACTTACCCTATCTGTCTCTAAAAGTAACGATGCCATTTGCCTGATTAGAAATGCCCTCTCTTTGTTTTGCTCGTCCCTTGATATTTACCCCTATTGATACTATGTCGAAGTGTATCCGCCGTGTTCGTGTCAAATGTGGAAAACGCCCCCACACGAGTGTATAAAGCCTATCCTGACTTGACTTGATATCGGTGCACAGCAATTACAAGAAAAAATGGGCCGAAAAGGAGGATAAAAATCAAATGGATCGATTGAGGTGTGTGCGGAGTGGTGAACTCACGTTGATCTGTAGCCGCTCTGTTAGTTTGAGTTTGTTCACCAAATTGAGCACATAGGTGGGCGTAGTCAAGAAGAACACAACAATGAAGACGCATACGTTGATAGCGATTGCCCGTATCCACCATACTGTGCGCGTCACAGAAAGATTGGGCCTGGATTGACAAAAGAAGAAGAGAGGAGATGCACCCTGAAATGAGAACTATACGCAAGTGGGACGTAATCCTGTGTGAGAGCAATGAAGTACCGACAGGAAACAAGTGCTCGAAATAAGAAGCAAAAAGCTAAAAATGATATACATGGCTATAGAAATCCGTTGTCTTATGAACATGGATTTGGAAGGATGATAATGTCACACCTGGGAAGCGTAACACAAGAAATACAAGATAAGAAATTTCATCTGAACAACCAGTAGATTAGGCTATTCATATGTAGGTATCGACAGGCTGTGTCCACAAATAGAGGGGATCAGACTTGACCCCCTAACTAAAATGAAAAATATTAAAGGCAAAAGATGAAAGCAATGCAATAAATGTTACGAGTTGCCCGCAGTAAATGTGGCATAGTGGATACACAAAAAACTTTCGGGAACTATTTTGTGATGAATACCATTTCTTTCCAAATACCAAAAATTTGAGATCAGTAAACTAATGAACCGGTATGTAGTCGATGAAGAAACGTCGCAAGATGTATGGAAAAATTAGGGTTAGTAGAATATATTTACGGTGCAGTAAAACCACAAGAGATGATAAGCAATCAATAGGAAGTCGGGATCGTGAGAATCAATTAGGTGATCGATTATCAGGTCGCCTCGTAATAGGCGATACCGTCCGCTGAACACTCCAAAACGTTTCAGCCTCCGCTTGTATGTGTGACTATGCATTTCAATCCACTCCGATTCCGATCCAGTAATAATGGAGCTTGGAAAGAGGTATCCAATGATCTAGACCAAGCATTCTCAATCTTTATTCAGCCGTGGCCCCCTTTTGAACCTTTCCATTTCTCATGGCCCCCACTTTTGATCACTACAATTTGAGCAATGCGCAACGCCTAACAGACGCAAATCTGTGATTTCCAGTGGTCATATTGGTATACTTTTTATGATGGCTAAATTTTTAATATTGTTATAACTGCTTTTTCCCATATAAACCTCATATTTTAAGTTTCATAGTCTCAAGGTTCATTGTGCGGCAACACCAAGCCACTTGTCCGTAAGTACACAGAAGTCGAGATTAATAATTCAAATCGTATTTAATCATTTTGGCATTTAACTGAAAGGCATGTCATGAATGAGGCTGTGTAGTCCTCTGTTAACAATGTTTGTCGAGATAGTAATGCGAGCTTTGGGCCTAATGTCCTTGAGTAAGCTTGTTCATGTCCGGCTCCAGACTTGACCGTGAGAGTCGAATATCTCCGTTTTCTGTAATGTCCAATCTGTTTTCACTTTTTGTTAGGGAAACCATTCAGCTGAATCCACATTCAACCAAGCATGTGAATGGGAAAGCTATTTCAGATATTTCTCACAGTTTGGGCTATCTGTTTGGGGCATCAGTAGTTATGCAAAAATCCCTTTTATATTGCGTAAATTTGGAACTTGCTAGTGCATCACTTGAAGCTCCATGAGACTTTTCTGGATTTTAACTCCAACATCGCAGGGCTGTACATCAAATGAACCTAAAATCCAAATCGGGACTTCCATGTCAATCAGGTTATGAAAGTTGATTTTCGTTTCTTTTTGGAATTTTTGTAAATGACTGGTCTAAACAAGCAAGTTTTCATCGTTCAGCTTCTCCATGACTGTAGCAAGTATTGGAAACTGTAATTTCTTGACGTCCGATGTTTTGAGTATACAGTTCCAACCTTTAAGTGAAACAATACTTACTTCTTTGTTCAAGATGAGATTACTCAACTTACCTTGAATTTTACCTAATAACTCGGCGTTTTTTAAAAACATCAGCCAGTTAAAACACATCTGGCTTAACTGTTAGCAATTCCAGTTCCAGAAAGGATTGTGATGTTAGTGCCCCAGAGTTTAACAAATGCTGAAGGCAGTTGCCCTTAGAGAGCCATCTAAATTCTGTATGCAACAGGAGGACCTGGAACTCTCCACTGTTCCCCACACACAACTGCTGGAAAAGACAATGTTGAAGAGAGTGCGATTTAATAATGTTAACTACTATTATGACAGTTGACAATCGTTTACTCGCGCTCCCAAGTTCTTAGCCACTAGGTGCTCTCGGTGAATCACGCAGAGAAGTGTATGAACAGTAGAGAGAACGTTTTCTAGATCGGCAATAAATCCGTTATCTTACGACCATTGCGGCAGCACCATCTATTGCACACTCAACTATGTTCTGTATTGGAATGGAGTTTTCAGTCAGATAGCTATTGACTACAGACATATACTGGTCTTTTGTATGTGTTTTATTTCTCCTAGCAAATCGCATCTCTTCCACTCACTTATTATCAGTGAAGAATCGGACATATGCCATGAGAAGAGCGTCGTTATCAGGTAAAGTAGATTCAAGTACGTGTAACGAAAATTTTCTGGACTGTAGTAAAGTGATTAAGGTACTTTCTATGTCCTGGACCATCTCATCCATAGGCCTAGATACAGTCGAATTTCTGAGCGGAATGGCTTGAGCTGCTTCTTGTGGATTCATATGCATCAGGTCCGACAGTATTATTGATACTGGAGGCAAGATAATATTTTCTCCAACAATATGTGGACTGCAAATTTTAGCAATCAACTTGCTGATTTTCTAAGACGCCGTAAGTCCATTTGCCTTTGTTTACCTGTCAGAAACCATTGTCTTTAAAGTTGGTCTGTTTTCGGAACTATCCCGCAGCTTTCTGCAAAAATCCCCAGATTTTCCGCTTTCCTCCTTATGAGCACTTTCCAAATGATTTTTCAGTTTGCTCGGTCGCATACTTTCATTTGAAGGTGTTTTGGCAAATTGAACACATAGGTAGAGTGAGGTTTTTGGGTGATTCGATAAATCCAAATGACAGGTATTCCACGGAGTACTGCCGACACCTCTTTGCAGAGGAGCTCATTACTGAAATGTGTCTATGTAAATTGTTAATATGTAATAATATATATAATATATATATTGCTTGTTTTATTTTTCTTACACAGTTACATCATGGGTAATAAATAACATCATTCGACGAGGCGAAACATGCAGGTGGTACGAATGATTGGTGGCACTTAATGAATTTTTGCATGGATAATAGGACATTTGGTAAGCATACTTACAAAATCTGTTGGTGGCTACAATGATAAAATGTAAAAGTGTAGAAACTCTGTTAGAGCCAACCCAAAGGGGCTTTCTGAGAATGACTTTGAAAATACCGTGGATAGTTAAAATGACCGAAGAAAACTTCTTGACAAAAGCAAATGAAGAAAACAAGTGGAACTCAGAAAATAACAATGTTCGGTGGACACTATTCACTGCAGTAAAGTTGTAGTAAACGGTGACAGCAGGTAAAATGAAGGACAGAAGCGACAAACACGGAAGAAAATGCCGGAGAGTTCAGGAAACCGTCATGGGAGAGCCAACTACGAAACTAATAACGTGCATCGGCTATTGCCAAACATGGCACCCAATGCGTGCTGGCAAGGCATTTGATTATTATGAGTGCTAGGAGAAGTATCTTTATGCACACATTATGTAGTACCCCATGTGCGCAGAGTAGCCACTTGAATTCAGAACGTTGCGGGCGAACGTGACCTAACCGCCAGACGTAGATGCGAACTGAGACTGGAGACGAAAAACGCGTAACCTTCAATTGTTCACTTGTTCTCTGAGCTTGGCGGCTTTGTCGCAAACGTTTCACCACCATGCGAGGTGGCATCCTCAGTGCAGTGAGATGCGGCGTGCAATCTTACTGATTGAATCCTCCATCCGTTATTGACCTGCAGGTGACTTTTGAAAGTGGCAGTGTCGATTTACATCTCGTGACCTCTACCTACTTTCCGCAAGACTAAAGTCGGCGCCCGAGTTATTCTGCCTTAAACCGCGTGACAAAATGACCCCTATTTCTTTCTGTCGAAGTGGTTCGTATATTGAATCGACGTCGACGCGCATTTTGATTGAGTTTTTCGTTGAGAACCACCAAGCTCGGAGAACAAATGAACAATTGAATGATCAACCTGAGCTATCAGTATTTCGAAACATTTTAAACGCGTAACCTAGCCCTACCGCACTGAGACCCGAAGGAGAAAGTCTGACCGGCACATGAGTTGTCACACAGTGGTAGTTTCCTGAGGAAAACTCAATGTCAGTGTGACTTTGTGAGGTAACAGCCGTAGTATTCTGACGAGAGTTCGCTAGATTCACTGTAGTTTGCACAACAGATGTATCAGACTCTTGAGTAAAGCTCGGTTGGTTCACTGTGGATAAGCATCGAAAACCTGACACCGATTCGGTTGTTAGCTGCGCAGTCTGAGTCGCCGTATGGTGATTACGTGTTTGAGCTGAGCCCGGCGAAATCTGCGCAAGTTTGGTGGGGCTATGCCAGCTCCACCAAGCAAAGTCTGCCCGGTCTGGATTTCAGACCTTCGTAAACAGCCACTTGCGCGAGTAATTCATTTCACTGTCCATTAGTTAGAAGGGGAAACTAATGTGCGGAGAAAAAATCAGAAAATTTTTTAGTGGATTTTGTTATCTTTGTTATCAGAAGCCACTTTTCACAGCATGGTCCCCTATGGTCCCCCTAAAAAGGTTTCCTATCTCAGGGCCCCCAAGGAATGCCCTGTGGCCCCAAGGGGGTCCCCGTTGAGAATATCTGATCTAGACTATAGAATTCCTTCGAAAAAGCTAGGTAAATCACATCAGCGTCAGCTGACTCGGTCCAACTACTCCGAACACTAAGTAAATCCGCTGTGCACTATAAAAGTCGACAGAATCCGTGCTGTACGAGAATAATCATGCCGCTGATTTCCAGATATCACACCATTATCATCATTATTACACATAAGCTGAAGGTGAGAATTATTGTGCGGTGACAAGAGAGCTCACCAGGGTATCGTCAAATGAATTCTACGACCGTGGACAGTATAGGGAAAACAGATGCTGGATCGTAGTTTTGAAGGCACAGTCCTGCTTCCGCCTGTGTGAATCTGAGTTATTACAAGCTTCCATATGGCGAG